AGTCTCCGATATCTTTAAGGGTTTTGTGAGACTTTACGAAACCCTTGAAGAACCTCGAAGGTTCCGTATGATAAAGAAAAATGGTTTCGAATTCGTTGCAAATCTCGAAACCCTTTTAAGTTAAGATTCTAGCAAAACTCATTATGAAAAAACATAATAAATTCTTTCCAATTTCTAGTGTTAATAAAATGCGAAACAGAGTCAAATATGAATATATCTTTTTAAATATATTTAATTTGATATTGCTTACAACCTATTCTTTAAATGAAACGTTTTTCATCATCTATCAAAGCTTTGACAATGCAGATTTTGTTTTTCCTTTAATTATTTTGCGCATTTCAATCTCAACTAAACTTCTCATCGCAATTTTAAGGCATGCCTTCAATAATCATTGTAGTACTCGTTTGAACAGTCAATGAATCTCGATAGTTTATCTAACCCAGGGCTATCGAAAGTCCTAATTTTGTATTATTAATTGCTTCATAATTCAACAAAACTTTCCTGTGAAATAATTAAAAGCTACACAAGTACTTGAGGGTGTGGATGTGCGCATGGGTGCAAGTGCAGTATTAATTGAGGGAAGATCTGAGCCCACGCCCTTTTATATCTACTATTCGAAATCCCTATCTATTTTTGTTGCATAATATAGGCGTACTCGAAACCTGCCGCTAACCTACCCGAAAACAAAACTCGTAGTTGTTCTGAAGTCATGATCAGGCGTAAAAAGCGTGACCCCACAGATCTCCACTCCGAGCTCTCGTAGGACATAGTTTCGAAAATATACTAACGCACTACTTTCAAACTTTCACAGAAATTATTGCTTTCGCCTTTTATTGATGGATAATTCTCAATTATTGCAGGCGGAGAATGCTACTTCTTGTTACACCCCAGGCTTTCATGGAACTCGCATCCATACGTGTTGGATTAAAATTTGCAGTGTTACTATGCCACAAACTTTGCCAAAACTAATTGTTTGTTCGTTCGTTGAATCGATTGACACACTCATAACAGTAAATAGAGCATACTTTTGTCTCAAAATGCATCACATGATGAACTAGACGACCAAATAAAGATGCTTAAAATATTTGATTTCTTTTACGTTTTCCGTGCAGCATTGTATGAGGAATCTGAATATATGATGAATTTTATAATTCAAGTGAATAATGAGTTATCTTAACGGTTATCAGAAAAAATGCGACATTGGTTTAATTGAAAATTATTGAAAAAACGTAATGAATATCGGCCTTGTAATTTTGTTAACAAAAGAGTCACATCTTCAAAAAGCTATTATTAAATCGATCAGCGCCAAAATCTCAGAAAATCCTGAAATTTATGATGAATTCGCATTTGCTCTTTGAATCATTCTGACAAAATCGCTTGGAAACTCAAAACAACTAGTGTACATGATTCTCAAGATACGGGCACTCGTCTTGTCTGGCTTACAGTTTAAAAAAACCTAGCAACATGCTTTAATTTAAAATTAGTTATATTGATTGATGAAATTTAATAAGATTAAACAAAGAAGAAAAAAAGTAGTAATTAAGCAGATTGTTCTATTTCATTGCGCAATATCGTTTATCAGCAGAGTTATTTGCCTTGCCATCCACTTGAACATCGCGAACATACACATGTCGTCCCACGACAATAGCCCGTTGCACAGTTTTGTACCTTACATGAAGCTATGCAAGCTACTCTTTTCGCCCAATCAAACCTAGGATCTGTGTAGAGAAAAAATAAAGACTAAAGTCATTACATTAAGTCATTCATTAATATTCACTTACGAATACAGCTACCAGCTTGTCATTTCACCCTTTCATGCTCATCATCAGCATCATTATTGTAACCTAAGAAATAAATGATATTTCAACTTGAATATAATAAACGTATTGAAAGTGTTACCTTTTGCTATAACAGTAATAGCCATACCAATGACTAACAATAACCAAAGTTGAAGTCGCATTTATTTTGTGTTTCGCAGTTATACTTATCAATTTCCAAAATTTATTTAATTGTTGGTTGAAATACATTGCTTTTATAGATGAATTTAATCTTATCAGCACATTCGTGACTCAGAAAAAAATAAAAATATAAGGATTTAATATCTCTTCCTTTATGAAAATCATTTCATTTGTATTTCAATTAATGATAAAATAATATCTGATTACTTTTAGCCTTCAAAAAAAAGAAACTGATGATGTATAGTATATTATATATGTGTATGGAAAGAATCTCAATGAAATCGGATAGTGTCGACTTCTTCTATCAGTTGCATCGGATATGACATCATGGAAGGTTTTAGAATGCTGCGATACCATGTAAAACTTTTATATGTCTCTAGTGCTAGAGAATTACGAAAAATCATTGTAGCCATCTGGCAAATATTTATAAAAATTATTAATCAAAATAAAAGATAGCTTTGATAAGATTCAAACACATCTGCGATATAGCCAAAATTAGTTATTGCTAGGCTCAAACTTACGAAATATTTTCAGTTACCTCTCTTTATTGATATTGATTGAGAAAAATTTTAATTTTTCTTTAGAGCAAAATTAAGAAAAACTGCACCAGCTTTATCGACACATCTGTCATCACATCGTAAGACAGCAATGACTTTGTTTTCAGTGGCGGAAATTGAATCTCAAAAACAATTTGGAAACTAAATGAAAACATTGAGCTCTAAAAAAAAATTTTGTGATAAATGCGCCTTAATAACAATGATTTAATGATGTCTATTCACATTTTACAGCTTGTCTTTACATGCTTTATCATTCAATAACAAACTGCCTACCAGGTCCAAAAAACGCCATCGTAAACGGCCTTAAACGCCATATCCGATTACGGAAGCAAAACCGGGAAGAAACTATGACCGTTGTCTAGCGAAAAAACGGCACGTAGACTGGCAGGACGGATCACGACGAAATAAGGTAACAAATTGATTCAGTAATTCGCCGTTTCATGTGGTCAGAATGATCAGCATGTGCTTGAAAATTTTATAGAATGGGTGTTTACGAAAATAAAACCTACGGTCTTTCAATCTATGTATTGACATTTCTGTGAATAAACGGAACGTGCTACTCATGATTAGACGAATAAAAAACTAATAATTACTACATTTTAACACGAATTAATTTATATTTAAACGATAAGCAAACAAAATTGTGTATAATGCTTTGTTTTGCATATTCTAAAGTTTAGTTAGATTTGTATTGTAAAACGTGCCGAACTCCACATATGGCTTTGTTCAAATTCTATCAAAAAGGAACATAAATTAATCAAAATATATAAGATGAAGTGTTCTTTCTTATCTTTTCAAGTTAAGTTGTCCAAATTTGTAATCTTTTTTTACAATTTTATGCACAAATATTTGATTTTCAGAGATAAAATCACTCAAAATTTCCAGGATTTTTGCACTTGAAAACAGCTTTTTAAAGTTGGGTGTCGGTGTGGAGTATGTAGCTGTGGTATTCCTTCACGCCGGCACTCTCCACTGTGTTTCACCTCTCAAAATAGACTGTTTTTATGTGACAATCAATTTTCTGATCAAACCAGGACCTGTCTGATGTGTTTTTCAAACTAAAAAATGAGAATGCGACTAAGTTGTCGTTTTTCACTGCGTAAAAATGTAGGTGAAATGCTTCTCGTTCAATTTTCTTTCCTTCTAACGTAGTTATTCGATGCAATTGGAGAAAACAAACATAGCATATTTTCTTCTCTATGTATAAACAAAAATACCACAAACATGATTGTATGTTCGAATCATAATTTTTTTTGTATAAAAAATCAAATCATAAAAATAGAAGTTATAATGAAACATTTACAACTAATTTTCCTTTCATATTTGCACTATGAAAATCTTCCATCATTTTATTTGGTACTTCTTCTAATGAATAAGTTTTTATTTCTGTTTGAATTCCATGTTTAGCAACAAATTTCACCATACGTCGAGCACTTTCGATACTTGATAAAAGACTTCCTTTAACAGTTATATCACGGAAGATTAAATCACGAAATTCAATTTGTATTGGTTCACGTGGTTGACCCACTACTACCATTGTACCATGCTTTTTTGTAATAGCTAATGCATATGTATATGCTACAATAGGATCGGTAAGAACTAATGTAACGTCGGCACCTGGATAGTTTTTTGGTGTTGTTATTGATTGAAGTGTATTTATTTGTTCGATAGCATTGGTTGCATCAATTTGACTTGAATCAATAGTTAAATCTGGTGAATATTTTAAGTTTTGAACAAGTTCTAATGGTTCCGGACGATTATCAATGGCAACAACTTTGAATTCCATGCATTTAGCAAATTGTACAGCTAAATGTCCTAATGCGCCAAGACCAACAATAGCTAATATTTCACCTTTTTTTAAAGCACATCTTTCAATAGCATTAAAAACTGTTGCACCTGCACACATTAATGGTGCACCTTGTTCAAAGGATATTTCATCTGGTAATGGTACAAGCCAATGTGAATCAGCTTTTTGATATTCAGCAAATGCACCATCAATTGTAATACCAGTAGCATTAAAATCTTCGCAGTATAAGGGTTTGCCATTCAAACAATCTGGACATTGATCACACGAATGACTTAAATTCAATGCGCCAACTCGATCACCAAGTTTAAATTCATTGCTAACTTTTGTTCCCATAGCAACAATAATGCCAGTTGGTTCGTGTGATGGAATGAGAGGTAATTGCTTAGCTTTAAATATTCCATCACGAACAAGCATTTCTGTATGACAAAAACCAGCACTTTTTATAGCAATTAATACCTCATAATCATCTAAGTTTGATGGAACAGGAATATCATCATGAAAACGATAATCTCCACCATATTCATGTAAACGTATAGCTTTCATAGTTTTAGGTATATTCGCCATCGTTGAAGTAAAAATAAAACAAAAGACTACTGGGATCACCTATCTTTATCTTTTTGTCTTTTACACCAATAGAGGTATTGTGTAATTATTCAATAGATGACTCGATCAGTTGGAAGATTCTTGAGGATATGGGTGTGCATAGAACTCCCAGTAACTATTTAAATCGATGTTTTCCTTTGTAGAAAAAAAAGACACAAGTGTAGCTAGTTCATATTCAGTATGATCTTGTCGACCAAGGTGATAAGAATCTTTGCAAATTCTTTTAGTGTATTTGGATAAATTGAATATTAAGATAAATATAAATATAATAATGCTACGCTAGAAATACGCCTAGAAGCAGCTGCCAGCAGTAGCGGATCTCGATATTAGGCCAATCTAGATATGATCCAAGATGAAAACTATATATTTACTATTTTCAAGATTGTCACAAGTAACTACATGAAAGAAATCCTTTCCAGATGAAAAAGACAGGACCGTTAATAGTGCAAGGGAAATGCCTACTTGCATCAAAGGACAACTGAATATTATAATTTTTTTTAACATATATCTATGATTTTTATTGGATACTAAACAAAACCTAAAATTTAACAACTATAATACTCAAAGTTTGATTGCTATTAACAGACTTTTGATATCTCTCTTTTTTCTTATTGCATTTATGATTACGAACAAGGACAAGACTACTTGTCACTTGGGTCCCGTTTCCAATAGAATACAATAATGATGGTAAAGACAACCGTGGTTTTCTAACATTATATAGCTGATGTTCCCTGCTATGATTGCACCAATGTCTATTATGAGGCACGTAGTTAAATATGAACGATCAGAATTCATCTTTGAGTAATTCGTTTACTATCAAGCCCTTTCTATTAACTGAGAGATTATAATTATTTCTACTTATTATACGTTTGGTTATTCAATTGGACGACAAAAAAGAAAACGAACAGGTATCAAAAAAAATATTATTAAATGCTTTTCTATTTGTTGTTATCAAACATCATTGCTTCTTTTTTTGCGCTTTATTCTTTGGGGTGTAGTTGTGGGTGCGGCTAGAGTCAAGATTTTCATCACACTTATACCCTCAAGATACTGATTGGCCTACAGTTCCTCTCCTAGATGTCTTCTTCGTTTTGTGTTCTTCATTTATGTCGAAATATGAAGAGTATTTGTAGTAATTCAGTCCTGTTAGGTTACATTTTCTCTGTTAACTGACAGAGCAAAAAAGTATCTTTCAAATGACAGTGCAGTGCAGTGCATGAGACAGCAATATTTTATATTCAGCTTTTATCTCACCGCAAGCAACTATCTATTTAAGCTATGGAGATATCATTATTCTAAACATTTATTTCACTCTTCGCACCGACTACGTACTTCATCACGCAAATGATTCCCTTGTCAAGCTTTTTTTGTATTATTTTTGCCGTTGCATCATTCTATGGTGTTTCTGCAGAGATTGTGAAATATACTGTCACTTTTGATCCGTGTGTTCAGAACGCAACTTGTCCTCAAGGAAATCCAGCTAAATTCAATCACACTTTCGCTTTGAATGGTACCCTCAGTCCAAAACTGAATTTGACCGTTGGAGATCGATTACAATTTAATTTAGCTGTAAATGTTTCAATTCATCCGTTAACAATCTGCCAAAATAGCCCCATACCCCAATTCTGCCAAGGGGTGAATGGTACTGATGAACTTAATATTCCAATTACTCAAGCAGGCGAAACAACTTCCGTTACTTTCATTGCTGTTGGTACTTACTATTATGGGTGTAATTATCATCCGGGAATGGGTGCCTTAATTAATGTCACCAGCTCAACTATTGTCAAGTCATCACGTTCACGTGTAAATACTCGTACTGGACATAAATTACGTATACCCTTCTAACTCATCGCTTTACTTACAATTGTTTTCATGTAAAGTCGTTACTTTTCTTATTGACTATGATTATCTTTGATTAATATTCTACGGTTTTCGCTTTCTTTTTTTCCAATAAAGTCCATGTTTAGTATATTTGTTCTGTATGCTCATAGTTTAGACGTCAATAATTGAGTCAACTACAGCTTACTACATGAAATCTGTATCCATGCGCATGAAGATTATAGTATTTGCTGGATGCTATGAGCGAGTGAGATTTGAGCATCGCATGTCTCCACCATGCGTAAATCAACACAAGGGTATCTCAGTCATAGAGTCCATGTGTACTGTTTGGTCAAGCCACTTCTTACTTTTGATAAGCAAATATATATTTGATGAATGAATCTGATTCGATAATAGCGACTCGTGCGAAGAACGAACAAAATAGAGTAATGGCCATATGTGCATGTTAGCAGATGGTTTTGATCCCACCGTAAATGGATGGCTCAGTTTTCGAACATAACATAAAAAATTATCACAATGATGCATGCTACGTCGTATGTAGTATTATTGCTGGTTGCTCTAAGGTGCGTTATCCTCTTTGGCGTTCTATACATTATATGATTCTATTATCTCGTTTAGTTTCGCAGGTATAGGTGTTATTTATTTTCGTGCTTCTATGTGTCCGTTTCATTTCATGTAATAGATAGAGCCAGAGCTCGAGTATGTGAAGGCGCTCTTCAGTACGATCGATGTTCATTGAACACTGCTTGTGGCTGCCTTCCTTTGAGTTCTAATGATAATAATGCAATTTGTGCCTATCTTGGTATCGGTTGCTCCGAATTGAACTCATGTGCTATGGACAATCAAACATGTTTTGAGCCTAATCATGTATGTGTGAAACACACACGGTGCCACAATCGGCCACTCTGTTATCCAATCGATATGGCTACTCACGACATGTGCCCAACTATGCCAATTACGACAACAAGTGAGTGGTTAAAAAACAAAGAATCTATCATGTATATTGCCATCGTCTAACAGGTCCATGGATAATTGATGATGGTATTTGTGCGAGTGCAATATGGAATCTTTACCGATGGCAATGCTAATCTCTATATCGCGGATACTTACAATAGTCGAATAGTAAAATGGGCGTTTGGAGTTTCAACTGATGAAGTAATAGTAGATTAGAACGGAGCAGGTGATCGCTCTGACGAGATCGACTATGCGACAAGTGTCGTCTTCGATAAGAATATGACCAAGTTCATTTCTGATAATGCTAAGAGTAGAGTGAAGCGATGGTTTAAGGGCGATGACTATGGAGAAATAATTATTGACAATATTTCATGCTTTGGACTTGTGCTAGATAACGAAGCCTCATTATATGTCACTGATCGTTACCAAGTAATAAAATGGCCTAGTGGTGAAGTAGTAGCTGGCAACAATAAAGAAGGCGGTGCTCTGAATCAACTTGCATATCCGTTTCATTTATTCGTCGATCAAGATCAGTCAGTTTTCGTGCCAGACGCTTCCAACTATCGTGTGGTCAAATGGATGGTTGGCGTGCACGAAGGTATGATTGTAGCTGGCAGCCATGGGCTAGGAGATGAAGCAAATCAGACGACTTGGCCTACTTCAGCAATCGCTGATAAAATATGTACTGCTTATGTTGCTGAATGGGGCAATCACAGAATCACATATTGGTTCAAAGACTATAAATCTGGCATTGCCATTCTTGGTGACGAAAGAGGAAAGGAAGCATATCAACTAGCATTTCCAACAAGTCTGACATTTGGTAGACAAGGAAATTTGTATGTGGCCGATCTTGGTAATAATAGAATTCAAATGTTCACAATTGACAAAAGTTCCTGTCATGCAGGTGAATATAAACATTTTTCTAGTAATTGATTGATCACAATTATTGTCTTGATCTGTCTGATTTAATGCCACCATCAAGTTAAGAACAATTCCACTGAACGATTTGAATAAAGAAGAAATGCTATGTAGTTTTTTGTTGTTGCTGATTTCAGAATCAAATAGATGTGTGAAGAACACTTCCTACTTGACTATTTCAGGTTCAAACACTGATAATTACTGCAGAAAAGAAGAACGTCACGCAGTATCGATTTAAAGGAGGACAAGCATATAAGTGATAGAGTTGTATTGGGCACATAAAGAAGTGATTTGTAGTACGTCATTCTCATCAAGATAGTTCAAATGGGCTAGGCCTCTCACAATAACAAGTTCACATGTGAACTAATATATGTTTCTTCGAATGGTTGTCGAATTTGTGCTCTGTCCTAATCAGTGAACGGATTGACATGAAAATCAATGTCAACAAGAACAATGGTTTGTTTGAGTAGAAAGCGATGGTGGCGTTATAACGCATTTATCGAATGTGTTGTCATTGCTCATCCACAGCGTGTGAAGATTGGGATGATGTTGCCAAGCTTCGACGAAAGCCAGCATGTCGTTGTCACCTGTAGCGTTGTAGTTAGGAAACACAGATGTGTTTTTCTCTGGTACGTTGTTGAAGGTCAAATACAAACGGTAGAATAGAGCCCGATTGTTGTTTAAAGTTTGTGCAAGACAAGTAGTACCTTCATCTCTGAGTTGATTGTCACTAAAATTCATTGGTATCTGTATAACACTTTAGTCGAATGCTTAGCTCAACTAAACGCCCCCCCCCCCATTAGCACTGATCTCGCTCCTACTCAAATACAACTCATTTCAAAAGATATTCCGTAGAAGTACAATTAAGTATTCGGAATTTACATGCACATGTGAGTGGATATGGGAGTCAGTCTTCGTCTGGCTCTCACCTTCCTTAAGCACGTGAAATTCTAGCATTATGGTTGTTCTACATCTAGATATTCTGTCATAGGTATCAAAACTTTTTAATTGTTAATAGCACTGAAACATAACATAAACCGTAAAATTGATTTTTGGTATGATAGACGACGAATCCGAGAAATCGCTGTTTTCTTAATATTTGTTGTTCCATCAAAATTTTAAATGAAACAATTCAGAGATACAATCAATCATTCGAAGCGACGAATCTTCTCATTATGATATTTTTACTTTCGAAAAACTGTGAACAGTCATTTGATACATAGCAAGTTGTAAATGTGATTCCGATGATTATATCTATGGTCTTTTGTTCTGAGATAGGCTAGCGTTTATTTAAACCAAAAATTGATTTTACCCGTGCTAAGTCACTGCGCTCTCCCCCCTCACCCACTAAAAATTGATCTCAGTTCATAAATGCTCAAACTCCATGAAATTTTCAGCTTGATATCATGATGTTTCCGGAAGATACTGACGAAACAGCGGTCAAAAATAGACCATCTGCCAAACCAAATTTATCAGTTCGCGTTCATTTAACAATTAGTTCTCTTTTCTGTTTAAAAGAGTATGTCAAGATGTAATACAGTACAGAGCTTTTTATGCTTACTTTTTAATGAGAAAAAAATAAATAGAAAGGGTATGAGTAAATGCGCTTGAACAAAATCCAAACCCATGCCGCACGCACTCTTCCCCGAATATACCATGCTACCACCACGCCCACACCCTGATACCTAACCAAAATCTACATAATCGTCACCAATTCAATAATACGGACACGTACTCGCTATTAATTCAAAAATTCATTTCCTTTTATTCAAGCCCTCCTTCGATCGATGCAAGCTAGATGCTCTATGGCTACATTAAACCTATTTTTTTAGTTCGTTTACAAAACATTTTTAGTTGTTCGTTACTTCGAAGTAATGTTAAAATGAATAATTAGTTCCTCCTACGACATTCGCACAGGATGATCCACTTTTGCTTAGGATTTCGGCGATTTTTACTGATTTTCATTGAATAACCATTAAACTCGTGACAGAGAAGATCTCAGTTGAAAATTCAAAGCCAATGAGTCTTTTTATGTATTCCTTATTTCTAGAATTTTGCTATCTATCTGGAGTCGGTATGTAATTTTGAAATCATATATACTAGTAAACGAATTCTTAGTGTACCACGCTCAATGGGCAGTCTAGCTATTATGCAAAAAAACTGAGGTAAACTCTTCCTATGAGCGACTAGTTGTTCGTCCTAGTGTCTCTACATAGCGCCACCCACAACTAGTAGTTACCTCATTAAAATAGGCTTTCTCGATCGATACTGATTGTCCATCTTAATGAAACATTTGTACAGTAGAACTGGATGCAAAATTTTGACAAACACTGATACCAGATTTGAATTCCTACACCGCAAAAATCGTCGTTTAAATTTTATGCAACATGATTCAAAGAGTCCATCTGAATAAACATGTAACGCAATACCAGACTACATATACATATAATCACAAACGCAATTTATTTGCTTTTATATCACCATCCATTCAGTCGAGTGAATAAATTGCCTTTGAATGTACTTTTATTCGAACAACAATTATGAGTACAATCCTTAACTAGGTAATAAACATATTCTCATTAAAAAATCAATGAGCCATATGATGTTGATCGCTGTTTCTTTTTTCTTTGCGATTCATATCTTTTTTTGCTAATGAATAGACGTGAGAGAACAAGTGAAACGAATAATCGATATTTTCCAATGTACAATATCAACGTATTATGTTTTGAAAACAAAATGTGATCAATGGCGCATATCTTCGACGAAGCACAGAATATATAAAAGTAAAACATGGTAAAGGGGAATACATTACGAATAAAACAAAAAGTATATGTGTATATAAATATGCAACGTTAATATTTGATGATCTCTAACGGACTAGCGTCACAAGATTTGAAAAGTGAAGAAACATGTAATAGGCATACGGTGCATTTTGGTGAAATTATTCATACAAATGATGATGGTTCACCATCAGTAGCGATCGATGGTGACAATAGGCACGTTTTATTTACAACAGATCAGTCAAATCAACAAGTGAATAGTCGACAGAAATCCGGTATACTTAAACGTCGAGAAAACACAATCACAACAGCTGATGCACCACGCATAACTTTGTCAGATGAAGGACTTAAAGCTGGTCGAGTATCACCTTTTATCAATTTCCCTCTATTTCTTAGCATGACTATTCAGAGTGTGGGGGTCATATTTGGCGATATGTTAAGTAAAATATAAAAAATACAACTTAATATTTTATTTTTTATTTTTATTTTTCAGTGGAACATCTCCTTTATATGTCCTCAAAACATTATTTGATTCTCCCCCAGAGGAAGATGCAGTAATTGGTGCTATATCATTAATCGCATGGAGTTTAATTGTTATTGTCTCATTAAAATATGCTATATTCATATTAATGGCAGACAACCGTGGTGAAGGTGGTCCATTTGCTTTATGTGGTTTATTGACTGGTCCAACTGATCTTCACTATCGTACTAAACAACTTGTTAGTGTTGTATCTATGATTGCTGCTTGTTTATTGCTTGGCGATGGTGCTCTAACACCAGCTGTAACGATTTTATCGGCATTTGAAGGTTTAGTCTTTGTCAATCCATCGCTTCAATCTTGGACTGTACGATTATCTGTCATTATAATAATATGTTTATTTTTGGTTCAACGATGGGGTTTATCTCGTATTGGAATGCTTTTCGGACCAATTATGATGTTATGGTTTATTCTATTAGCAACTATTGGCATATGGCGTATTACATATAAACCTGTTATATTCAAAGCATTGAATCCATGGAAAGCAATGCATTATTTAATTAAAACTAAAAAGCAAGGCTTCTATCAAATTGGTTCTGTTTTTTTATCAGTGACTGGCTTAGAAACACTGTATGCTGATTTGGGATATTTTGGACGATGGCCTATAAGATTTTCATGGTTTACTTTGATTTTTCCTGCCGTTTTACTTAATTATTTAGGACAAGGAGCACTTATCATTTTATATCCAACATTTATTGATAATCCGTAACTTAAATTTAAAAAAGAAAAAGTTCAATATTAAGAAAATTTTCTTTTTTTAGATTCTATCGTTCAGTACCACATTGGGCACTCATACCAATGCTTGTATGTTCAGTTATAGCAGCCACCATAGCTTCACAATCTATCATAAGTGGTTCATTTTCGTTAGTTTCACAAGCTATAGCAATGGGCTTTTGTGTTCCTTTTACTGTAATTCATACATCTCGTTCAATAATTGGCCAAATTTATGTTCCAGCTATAAATTATTTTCTTTTAGCTCTTACTCTTGCTGTAACGATTGGTTTCCAAACAAGTAATCGTATTACAGATGCCTACGGAGTAACAGTATGTAGTCTTATGGTTATAACAACGATTCTCTATATGATGGTTATGCGTTGGACTTGGTTAAAACCAATTTGGCTTGTGGCTTTATTTGGAATTTTTTTAATTATTGATCTATATACATTTGCCGCAATTTATGCAACAAAAATTGCTTCAGGGGGTTGGGTTGCTATTATTATTGCATTTAGTCTTTTCATATTCTCATTTAGTTGGTTTTATGGAAATACTCGTCTTAATCATTATTTATCTAAAAATTGTAAAACAAATTCAATAGAAGATTTACCAAATCAACTTGGACTTAAAGGTTTTGATTGTCTATTAAATGATGACGAACAATCAAATATAATTTTAACTAATAATGATGATGATGATGATGACGACGATCAGAGACCCAAAACCAAGAACAATAAGAGAACACGATTAATAAATAGTGAACAACAAAAAGATTCAATATCGATTGTAGAAAATCTTCAAACTTCTATCTCAGTAGAAAATGTCGAAGGTAGTAATTTAATTAAAAATAACTATGTAATAATTCGAGGCGTTGGTTGTTTTCTAACAACATCGAAAAAATTTACTCCGTATGTATTTGAAAATTTTCTTAATCGAACGCATGCTCATCAAGAAATATTAATATTTCTTAAAATTGAATATGCACGAATGCCAAGTGTTGATGATGATCAACGTTTAATTGTTCGAACTTTTGGGAATAATATTTTTCATATAACATCAATATTTGGCTATGCAGAAACAAATATTAGCCTTTTTAAAATTCTTCATTTAGCACAACAACTCTACAACGTTCCTATTACAACCGATGAATCAAAAATTACTTTTTTTCTTCCAAATGAAACAATACATGTTAATACACATGGATGGAGAGCTTGGCTAAGATTTATTCCATTATATATTTATTCTATATTAAAGCAATTATATCCAGGAATACCATTAAATGTTAAATCAGTACCAGAGAATACGATTTATGTTGGAATTCTTGCTGATTGCTAAGAATTTATTCGAGCATTTTTTAAATAAGATAAACTTTTATTTTATTGCTTCGTTTAGTTTTGTACCTTTTTTTCAATCTAATCAAATATACCTAGTCTTTAGCTAGATAAATATGAAAGTATACTGACTCAATAGTGGCGCGGTGAGGTGTAAATCACACTCTGATATCTTATAAATTTTCTGTCGATTTGATAGCATCAATCGATTATTATACACCAGAAATAAGACGAGTTGTTTCATTGAGGCTAAATAATTACCAGTAGGTGTGAGTATTTGAGTTTTATACATATCTTTTACCACACTCACACCCATGGCCATCTCTTTAGACGATATGAAGTAAAGTTAAATGATATAGAATTGAATTTTATATCTAAAACAAAAACTGAATTCCTTTTTAATTGTTCATGTCTACATGTCGTATTTACGAAGATAAAAAAAACGTTTTCTTGCTTTTTTTTTGTGTTTTTTAATGTAATTTTCAAAATTGTAGATAAATATAGTTGATTAAAATTTAAGCATGAAAGATCGTTGTATAAAAATTCGAATTAAATTAATGAATAAATATGTCAGGCAAAAAATAGCTACAGCTGCCAATTGAGAAGATACAAGCTGATTCTGAAGATGATATGATTCCAAATATATATTGTCATTATTCGCTAAACCATAGATAAAAGTTGATGAAATGTTCGCTAGTGAATCATTACAACAACGTGTTAATAAAGAATGTGAAGAAGCTGGTATTGATTCTTAATTACTTGATTCACCAACTATGAATCACTCGACTACTATTGAACAATGGAGAGAAAGTATGTAGTCGAAATTCTGCTTTTATTTTATTTAAATATAAAACTTTGTTACGTGATAGACAAATTAAAAAACAAAAAGAAAAACAATGTAATATTCAATCAGAACCAGCAGTAATGCACAGATTAAATTTCCGTCAAATTTTACAGAGAAAAATAAGCAACAAAATATTGAAATTAATAATTTATTAAAATACATTGAAGATATAAATAAAAGGCTTACTCAACCAGACAATAAAATTAAACAACAAAATTCGGAAATTCATTCGCTAAAATCAAACCATTAGCTTATTTAAATAAAAGTATATTGATTGAAAAGTTTCTTTTGTATTTGATTAAAAATGATACAAAATCGGAGTGGTTCGATGTTGGACAGATCCTAAGATCTGACTCGCTTGAGTTTTCCAGAACGGAAGGGTGTAGGTGTGAGTTTGCCTTATTTCGTTTTCGAACTCATTCTACGATTTTTTTTATGTGGTTTTTATTTTTACATTTGAATTCATATATTTTTAGAGTGACTATCACTAAAATCACTAAAACAGCTACATGATTACACATATTAATAAACGAGTCAATAATTTCATGTTCATGATATCAAATTTTTGTTGTCACCAATGAAATGGTATATGCAAAGTATACTATTATACAACCGGAATACCAGGCTGCCAAGTACGATTGTTTGTTTCAATCAATGGAGCCGAAGCTTCGAAGTTTAATTCAAACTTGTCTTCTCCACGATATTTATTTGTTTGAGTATACCATTTTCCCTTGAATCGATTACGCTTTAAATCCCAGATCAATTGTATAGTCACCGTATGTCCAAAGTTCTCTGTAAGATCTCCTGTTCTTGCTTGATAAATCTTCGTTAGACCCATACGAAGAGTTTTCATACAAAAGATACCATCGATAGTATAGCTACCGATTTCATCTGTTCCTTCGCCGCTTACTTGATATGAATATCGATTGAACGAGAGTGATAATTGATTGGATGTATGCCATTTATTATATTGAAAATATCGACTAGACCAGATACCATCCACGAAAGGATCATTTTGGGAGTTAACATTTTGACGAGAATTTTGATTGATAAATGCTGTGTTATCTACTGGTGGCTTACCACCTGTACATTGACGAATCCGTGATCGAATTGCCCATACAATGGCGACTCCAGCAAGCAGTACACCAACGATTTTCAAAACGAATACTGCTAATTCACATTCAAAGGTTAAACATGGATTAACATAGCTTTGATTACCTGAAATTGACATTGATTAATGTAAATGTAAAAATCAAACACATACTTCCACTTCTACCACCGCCGCCGCCGCCACCTCCTCCTCCACCACCACCTTGAGATTGAACGATAATGATCAATAGAACAAATATGAGTATAATATGAATTATGATATGCATCGTGTATTTTTTAGCTAAAAATAAGTTTTCTCATTAAGCATCTTAGACAAGCGTAAATAAGAAAACGTGTTAGGAAATAGTAGACTTCATTCTAATTCGGTAAAGTAGTTTGATATTTTTTTTCACTTCTCCTTACAGCGATAATATAAGCCGTGATGTAAGTGAACAAGTACTACTTATTTTCGATCTCTAGAGTACTTCAGCATGTCGTTGACCTTTATTTTTAAAGTAAATCTAAATTTTCTGACTTAAAAGTCAATCGAAGAATATCAATAATAGTCAATAGTACAAGACACAGTTTTAAGCTAAATGATCCTCAAGTGATATTATATTTAAGTTTCGTAGAACATGCGTTACAAAATAAAACTAGTCGTATTATGCACAAAACTTCGATATTCAAAAATCAAAAATAACATTAAGACATCTATATTTGATCATCATCAATACGTTTTGATTGATGAATGTAGACTAATGGAAATATGTTTCATCAACTGCAGTCCTCATGTTATATATTTTTATGTAACTGATGACCGTACTCTATTTTCTGAATTTTAAGGATTTGACGATACATCGAAACAAGTCCAGATGCTAGAACATAGCATGAAATCGTTGGCGCTCTTTAGCAAGTACGGCTTTAAAAAAAGTGCCAGAAATGTAATGTTACTATTGTGCACTTTAAAATAAAAGATACCTAACGGTTTTTTGAATAACTCTTCACACAAATAAGATAAGGAGTTACGGTCTTCCGCATTATACAGAGCAGACTTGGAGCTATCAATATGTGCTCGAATAAAAAACGAAGCGGTTTTTAGAGATCTGATTTTTGAAACTATTTCAATTTTGAGGAGG